GAGAGAGAGAGAGAGAGAGAGAGAGAGAGAGAGAGAGAGAGAGAGAGAGAGAGATTGGTGTGGTTTGTTGATATGGCATGGCATTCCTGCAGGATGATTCACATGATGGAGGGGCTCTGGAATCACTTGATTTGCATGAAGACCCTAATGGAGGGGTTTATGTAAAGGATCTGACTTTCCACCATATCCAGACAATTGAGGAGGTAACACTGGCTTTCCAGCATCACTTAGAATTGAGGAAACAACCTTCATAGTTCAAGTTTTTGATGGAGCGAGGTTTCAATGTCTGAAGGAAAACACTCTTGCAATCATCAATAATATACTTCAGACGTACTGACAACGGGACCTCACAACTGCGACTCTGAGCACAGAATCCACTCCCGGTTGCTCGGAACCGAGTTTCAAGATCCGTTAACGGATACTCAGAACTGAGAACTCTTTACTCAGAACCCAGTTCCGCGTACTCAAAACTGAGAACTAGGTATGCGGAATCCAGTACTGGGTACTCAGAACCCAGTTCCAGATACTCAGCACTGAGAACTCTGTACTTAAAACCCAGTTTCAAATACTCAGAACTGAGAACTCAAGACGCAGAATCCAGTGCTAAAACTTAGAACTCTGTACTCAGGGCGCCATTCCAGATACTCAGACCTGAGAACTCTGTACTCAGAACCCAGTTCTGCATACTCAGAACTGAGAACTCGGTATGCAGAATCCACTACTATATACTCAGAACTCATAGCTCTGTACTCAGAACCGCGTCCCAGATACTCAGGAGTGAGAACTCTATACACGGAATCCAGCACCAAATCGTCAGAGCTGAGAGCTTTGTGCTCAGAAAGTGTCAGAATCCATTAACGGATACATAGAACACAGAACTGTGTGCTCAGAACCCAGTTTAAGGTACTCAGAACTGAGAACTCTGTGCTCAGAACCTAGTACTGGATACTCAGAACTCAAAACTCTGTACTCAAAATCCAGTAATGGGTACTCAGAGTTTAGAATATACTCATGTAGTAGTGGGTACTCAGGACTTAGAACTCTGTACTCAATGTAGTAACAGGTACTACTCAGGACGTGGACCTATGTTCTCAAAATCTAGGTTGTACTGTCAGCATTGGAAGCAGGTAGAGGGTAACGACTGCGACCCTCAAAAATCTAGGTTGTACTGTCAGCATTGGAAGCAGGTAGAGGGTAACGACTGCGACAAGATCACATATTATCAGAGGTCTCAGTAGCACAATGCAGTTGAAAAGAGCCATACTGAGAGCGAGGCAGGTGGGTGGGGTGGATTTGGACTCGGATGAGAGACGGTCACAACTTCCAGCATCTCATCACTCTCGTGGTCCTCAACTTGTCACGCTGAGTATTAAGGCCAGGTGCCACTGCTGGTCTGTTCATACTAAGAAAGTGCGGCTTGGAACCTGGCAGTAAGCAGAAAACTAATGAATAATACGGCCAGGTTCATGCTTTTCGAGCATGACCATAGCACCAGTGAGATCTGGTCGTTTTACTAACTCAGGAGGGTCCTGAGTTGCTGCGTAGCAGGCGTTACAGGACTTTCTGTGTTTGCTCTGCACTATCCACATCTATACAGAACATGTCCTTCTTGGAGTAGGATCTTTCAGCGTCGGGCAGCTGAAAGTTCCTGCTAGGTCTAGTAGGAACTTTCAGCATCTGCCAGCTGAGTTGCTGCGTATCAGCTGGCATATGCCTGGCCACGACTTCAGTGGGAACTTATCAGTGTCTGCAAGTTGAAAATTCCGACTAGGTCTGAAGAGCTGTCGCACTGCTTGCTACTCCTCCTTTAGTTAGGGTGCACTACCGGTAGCATTAATACAGTCGGAGAGGGTTATCCTTATGAAAGGATTTAACTCGTTGTCCCGGTCCTACGGTCCCACTTGGGCCCAGTCCTAGTTGACCCTGGTCCAGGGTCCTAAAAGTCCGGTAGGGCCTAGAGGCCGAAGGATCGTAGGTCTGTAGGGTCCGGTAGGTTGGGTCGATAGAAGTCATAGGCCCAGCACCGACAAGAAAAGTCTACAGTCCCGAAGTCCAATTTTGCAGCAGCATCCTGGGAAAGTCTGGTAAGTTCCAGAACTGGAAAACTGCAGTATTGATGACCAAGTCATGTCTAGGAGGGGATGCCTCGAAGTACGGGTTGTCGTTTTTTGAAGCCGCTGGATGCGGGTGAAATTTGGTCCAGTACTCGAAGCCAATTAGCATAGACAAGTTCCTGCAAGAACTCTTCGATCAGCTCCAAGATATAAATCGTGCTATGAGGACCGAGCATCTCATACTGAACATAGAACGCTGTAATTGGAAGAGTGTGGCAGCTTTGAGGGCCACAATGGATGAGTTGCTCCAGGTCAAGGACCATGGAGATACCCCTTCCCAGATACTGAATCACTTTGCCCTTGCGTTGCCTGAACCGTTAAAGTCCCAGTTGTATGCTGAGTCTCAGGAAACCGGCATGACCTATGAGGTCTTCAGCAAACACGTTGTAGAGTGGGCCGGATTCTTGCAGCAGGCCAACTTCCATTTCTACAGGGACCTCGAGAGCGATAAGAAGTAGAAGGAGCAGACAATCTCCAAAAATATCGAGGGAAAGGATGGTTTGTTGGTTACCTTCGTGGCAGGGGGAGTCGAGGAAATTCCTTATGATCAGATTGATTACGCGTTGGGCGGGGACGACGACCAAGTAGTCCAGCGAGGGAACTATGCTGCTGTAGTAGCCTGCGGGGAAGGGCGTGAAAGAGGCTGAGGTAGAGGAGGTCAAGGAAGAGGTGGAAGAGGTCAGGCTACCCGGGGGAATGGAAGCACCGAAGGTTTCCATGAGGGAGGTAAGGGTTATGGCTCCCCACAAGGTGGCTGTGGGGCTTCCTCCTCTCAAGGTTGCCCTCACAAATGCAGGAAGTGGTGGGTTCCGAGGTCCGTGTAGATATCCCGTAAATCCAGTGTGTAACGAAGGAGAGCCCTGGAAGGCAATGACATGCCAGGATCCCTATGGTGGAAGAGAAGGGAGGAAGGGGTGCCGAAACCGTAAGGGTCAAGTTATGGTTGTTTAGATAGATTCAGTAAATTTGTTGTTTCTATTTTACTGCCGCCTGAGGCTAAGATGGATTTAGTGATTAGAGCTTAATTTTTTCAATCATTGGGTAGAGGATTATTGATACCCACTGACGATACTTAGTGATAGAGATGCTAGATTCACCGGCCAACAGTGACGACAGTTAGTGAAAATCTACGGATCAAAACTGACGAGGTCACCGGGTTGACGGACAAAGACTAATGGACAAACATAACAGATGACCAAATTGCTACGGCAAGTGTTACACATGTATATTAGGCGATTGGGATGAACGCTTACCCGAGGTAGCAAGCGCATACAATAACTCCGCACATCTAGACACCTTGCACACACCGAACGAGTTGCAGAAGGGATGGCACCCTAGACGGCCTATCGACTGTCTGAACCCTGGTGAGATTCAGAGGCCACCACCAGACACTGGAGAGTTCGCACTGCAATATGAGAAAGATCTGCACAAGGTTGTGGAGAATATTAGAAATGTCCAACACCAAATCATAGAGCAAGCTAATAAGGATCACATACCTTCGCAAATTTGCTGTTGGAGATCTTGTCTGGTTCAAGTCAAAAGAGTTCTCACTGGAAGAAGGGATTTCTCAAAAGATGCTACTGGCATATCAAGGGCCGTGTGAAGTCCTAGATGATAGGGCGACCTAGATGGTCTGTCCTATACGATTGATATCCCAGCCCATCTGCACGCTTACCCCATGTTCCGCGCGCCGAAGTTGTTGCCATGCATTGTAAATGACAAGTTTCCCTCAAGGAGATTCATGATTCCACCAGATGTGGATGGCAGATATGACATGGACTGCATCGTGAATGAGGATGTCTACAGATCCAGTAGGAGGGGAAGACCACAAAGACAGTACAAGTTCCAGTTCCAATATCCGGAGCCTGAAGATGAGTGCGGGTACACCAGGGATGAACTAAAGGAAACGGTCCCTAACATTGTATTAACTATGAACGAGCTAGCAGACTAGAGAATGTTCTCGACCAGCGAAGGGATGAATTTTCTCGGAGGACCACAAAATTAGGCCAGTGGTAGTGAAACGATTTCACGCACTGTCCCTGTCCCGAGTCCGGGTCCCAGAGTTCCACTTGGGCCAGTCCCACTTGGCCCTGGAGTGAAACTTCAGCCGACAGGCCGCATCCAGAGCTGACAATGATTCACTTCAGCTACTATTTATAGGTTCTACAGTGCTGCAGTGGGTCACTTGTCAATCCGCATGTTGCGGAAGCCAAGCTGTAGTGCTTGTGTGACTGAGCGACTAGACTGTCGGTTGACGAAGGAGGCGAAGGGGAACGAGTGCCATAGTCAGGGTTGAGGAGGAACAAAACAGAAGCCATAGCTGCAAGGTCAAAGTGAGGTAGGAGAGAGATGAAGTAAGGCAGTAGTGAGTGTACTAAGAGAGCGAGTGATAGTGGTCCAAGGACAGAGTGAGAGAGCAAGAGGGAGAGATACAAGAGAAGAGGGAGAGAGTGAGAGATCTGAGCGAGAGTTATATGTGTGGTGTGACGGCGATAGCAGCCATAACTGATTGTATTATATACTTGGAACTTGAACCATTCTGATGCTTTGGGAAAGAAGTCAATTCGGTTGGGCTAATTGCCATCTCTCGTTTGTTGTGTGAGCTACCTGTTAACTTTCGGTGTGATGGATGTCGAAGTTTGCAATTGAATCGGAGTGGGTTCATTTTACATACTAAGTCGGCTGCAAGGTCCCAAGTATCCTCTGAATAGAACAAGTGACTGTTATCAGATTTAGACTGAAAGTTGCCTCAAATATGGCTATAATAACCATGTGTTCAATTCGTCTGTCATACTGCTGCAGAGGGGGGTCATCCTTACTAACCCATCATTGAAACTGATTGTAATGCAATGCAATAGCTCTCTCACTGCCAGCTGTTTGTTCCCTCTGCTTCTAGGGATTGTTTGGGGAAAAGGGTTGTTGGGGAGAGGAGGAGTACAGTAGTAAATGGGCACCATTGGTCATGTTTTTGACATGGTCCTTATCTTGGCAAAGTCAGGGGCATGAATTTTACGGAGATTTCTGCACTATACAGGCCGTTTGTTCTGCACACCAGTCCTGCACTTGCCCTGGACCACCTTGGTTTGTCCCTGGGCGTCGATGGTTTGTTGAACTTTGTCCCTGGGCGTCGATGGTTTGTTGAACTTTGTCCCTGGGCGTCGATGGTTTGTTGAACTTNTGGGCGTCGATGGTTTGTTGAACTTTGTCCCTGGGCGTCGATGGTTTGTTGAACTTTGTCCCTGGGCGTCGATGGTTTGTTGAACTTTGTCCCTGTATCACCTTGGTTTGTCCCTGGACCACAAAACCGTTTGTTCTGCACACCAGTCCTGCACTTGCCTCACAACTCACTCGGGAGGGAGAAACGGGGAAGAACCAGGATGAAGGGGCAGGACAATGACCTCAGGTCACTCCCTGGACACACCAGGAAGAAACCATCAACACCTGCATGGGCGTAACAATGACCCAGGCCCCTCCCTGGATATACCAGGAACAAACCATCAACACCTGCATGGGCGTAACAATGACCCAAGGTCCCTCCTTGGACAGACCAGGAACAAGCCATTAACACCTGGATGGTCATGCAGGAGCAAACCATCAACTGCCGCCAGGATGGTCATCAGCGGTCCAGGAATGCTTGGACCAGGATCCTCAAAACAGTCCGGACCAGGATCCTCAAAACAGTCCAGACCAGGATTGCAAGCAGGGAAGAAGCTGTCTCTTGAAGCAAGCACTGGCCATGGTTGCCTACATGAGAGAACCATGGCCTTGATTCTCTCCGCTTTGGATTGTTCCTGGTCTGTTCAGGGCCCATGCAGTAGCCATGGTTCTTTCAGCCCAAACCCTTCCTGGACAGACAGTTTCGTGAGTTGATGTTATTTCCTAAGTTGTTCTCTGTTCTCATGCAGGTACAGGAAATGCCAACTGCCGCTCCCCAGAATGGAAGGGCCACTATCTCCCTCCTGTGTGTCGTCATATTCGCTATACACAACTCCACAAAGAAAAGCATGACTGTTTCGTTGGACTTTCACTGACTCATCAGGAGGTTGTTCTCCCAGTGTGTATGTGTGTGTGTGTGTGTGTGTGTGTGTGTGTGTGTGTGGTGGTCGTATACAACACTCCACAAAAAAAAGGCACAACTGTGCCACACTGTTTCATGGGTACAATCCTGGTCCGGACTGTTTTGTGTAACAGTGTTTGGACCAGCAAAACAGTCCGGACCAGGATTGTACCCATGAAACAGTGTGGCACAGTCATGCCTTTTTTTTGTGGAATTTTGTATAGTGACCACCACACCACACACACACACACACACACACACACACAGACACACACAC